CTGACCATGAAAAAAATTGGTGAAGCTTGTATGTGGAGGTGATTTAGGCTAGTGATCAGAACCCTATAAAGTGAATTTTAAAGAGAACTCTTACAAGAAGTAAATTGCAGCTTTAGTTCCATCTTTGACACCTGCATGTACTTGATGGTGCATTTTCCCTTCTGTAAACATGTAGGAAAATAAGTAGGTAATCTGTAATGATTTTCATCCCCCTCTCAAAAATATCCTAGTTACTTATTAGGCACATTCACAGTTGTGTGCCCATTCATATACAAACACATGAAGGTACACAATCAGTACATATGTGCCCCCGACACACCTGCTTTCTTATCTCCCTTATCTTTGCCACTGTAGAGGACTGTACCCTATTTCTCTTGTTCTTACATGGATTTGCCTGAGGAGAATGATACTAAAGACTGAAGTGTCATCCAGTGTGTCTTAATTTCATGTTGCTAAGATGATTATTTCCAGACCAGTGCTCATATTACCTCCAAAGACAGTTTTCTTAAAATGTACTTTATTTAAATTACCTTACTGCATTCAAAAGCAATTCCATAATTTCCTATTTTTTGTACAAATGAAAAAAGTTCATTTTAACTTTTCTTTTTTTTTGGTTTTTCGAGACAGGGTTTCTCTGTGTAGCTTTGGAGCCTGTCCTGGAACTCACTCTGTAGTCCAGGTTGGCCTTGAACTCACAGAGATCTGCTTGCCTCTGCCGCCTGAGTGCTGGGATTAAAGGCGTGCGCCACCACTGCCCAGCCATTTTAACTTCTTAATTAACTTCATTGATTATTAACTACAATGTTTGAATTTTTTAAAACGCTAATTAGCACTCTTGGGAAACTTTAGCCCTTAAGGTTTGTACTGTAAAATAATGAGCTAGCAGGGCCTGGAGAGGTGGCTCAGTGGTTAAGAGCACCGACTGCTCTTCCAGAGGTCCTGAGTTCAATTCCCAGCAACCACAAGGTGGCTCACAACCACTTGTGATGAGATCTGGTGCCCTTTTCTGGTCTGCAGTGACACATGCCAGCAGAACACTGTATACATAATAAATAAATAAATCTTAAAAAAAAAAGAAAAACAAACAAAAAAATGAGCTAGCTAAGTTTATTTCCAAATTCTGGTCTCTTATGTTAGTTGTGTGATTTTTTTTTTTTAAATAAATATTTTGACAGATTTGACAGTTGTCAATTCACTAAGTTTAAGATGTGGTAATTATTTGACTAGCTTTTAAAAACTGAAGTTCTTTTATTTAATATAGGTAAAGTAAATACTTACCAAAGATAGGGGCAGGTGAGAAATGGCTCATTGGGTAAGGGCTTGTTGCTATGCTTAACAACCTTAGTTCAATTTCTAGAACCCAAATGGTGGCATGAGAGTACCCACTCCTCATGTCCTCTGGCTTTCACATGTGTCCTGTGGCAAAAATGCATGCTCATGGACACACATACACACATAATAAATAAATGTAAAAAAGATATATATATATATATGTATATGTGTATATATATTTTAAAAAAGATAGTTTTTCATGTCATTCCACAGGGTTTTGTTTTGTTGTTATTGTTAATACTAAGCATTGTAAAAACTACTGTTTTATACTTAGGACTAGGTGCATGAAATAAAACGACCAATTTATATTAAGTATGTGGAGTTTAGTTTTAAGGATTTAGTTTTGCTTATTTATTTTGAAATAATATGTAGAGTGCACGTGTGTGTGTGTGTGTGTGTGTGTGTGTGTGTGTGTGTGTGTGTGTGTGTATGAGAGAGAGAGAGAGAGAGAGAGAGAGAGAGACTGTGTGTGTGTGTGTGTGTGTGTGTGTGTGTAAATTTGAATGTAGATGCCCACACAGGCCAGAAGAGGGCATCAGATCCCTGGAACTGTTAAAGGTAATTATGAGATACCAGACATGAGTACCAGGAACTAAATTTTGGTCCTCTGCAAGAGCAGTATGTGTTTTTACCTGTTGAGCCATCTCTTCAGCCCAAGAGAATCTTGCTTTAATAATAGATGTTAAAAAGGTGCAATCTGGTTCCATGAGTAAAGTATGTAACTCAAATTTAAGTTACAAATGTTGACATTTAGAGGATGTGGCTTAATTATTGTATAGAAGAAACACTTCAAGTAACCTATGAAAACATCATAGACCTCAATATAAATTATGGTTCTTGTTATCACGTGGTTTTTCTAGTATCTTGAAAACAACCCATTAAAATTGAGTGAATACCTACTCGTTTGACTAATGTCAGTTTTAAAAGATGCATTCACAGGTATATTTCATTCTAGCTCTTCAGCAAGTGATCTGTTGTAGTTCATTGGTAATATTACAATTAATACTATATTTGACAGTGGAATTTTGTTGAATAATAATTCTTTAGTTTTAGCTTTGTGTTTAGTTTCTTTTTCCTTGCTAAGACTGTGTTCCTGATGCTTAGTATTAGTGTTATTGATCAAGGAAGCAGGGACATTTTTACAACCAAATTAGACTATAGATTTAACCTACTTTGGTGATAGAAATACTGTTTTCTAGTTGTTGTTTTTTTTTTTTCTTGTTTCTTATATGACCCATTTTTTTTAAATCAATATCACTTTTTATTTCTCAAATAATTGCTGTAGGAATTCTGTCTCTTGTAACTGAACTGTTCATAATAAGCTTCTATAATGAACTAAAATGATTACACAATTTAATATTATTATGTAAAAATTAGATAATTCATAGTATAGTTGATAAGATTAAACATATAGAGAATACTACAAAATTTTATTGAGCTTACATTAGAGTAGTGGCATTATGTTTTTGAGGGAAATAAATACATACTTATAGTGATTAATAAAATTACTCTTAAGTAAGAGTAATCAGTATATTTATGAGCTATAATGTGTTTTTATATATAAACATATTGTATCAAGACATATCTGCCACTTTTCCTACTTATTTTTTTTTTTTGTGGTGGAGAACGTTTAAAATCTGCTGTCTCATCAGTTTTTAAGACTGTAATAAATTATCATAAAACCATCATACTGTGCAGGAGATCACTGAAACGCCTTCCTCCATTTGGGTTTAATTTGTCTTCTGTGTCTGGTTTTTTTTTTTTCACTCAGATTAGTGGTTTTTTACCACTTATTGCTACTCTTCCAAATATCAAAGTAGTTTTTGTAGAGACTCTATAGCATTCCATTGTGCATGCATACCATAAAGTTCCATCACTTGCTATTATCTTGCCAGATATACCCAGCAATTCTTCTGGGTATATAACCAGGAGAAAGGCATGCATATGCGTAGATGAATTTCTAAACAGTCTTATTAAATAAGAAACACAGAGCCAGATACAGGGGTAATAGCCGAAGAGATCTGAGAAATAGTGAATAGCCACGACTAGCCTTAGCTTACCACCACATGGTAGCTTCCCCAGAGAGAGCTTCTTCCTGTCTAACCTGCACTTTTATTACCTTTCTGTTCTGCCTTCTCATTGGCTCAAAGCCCAGCCACATCACTTCCTCATCACTGCCTGTCTATACAGACCTCCAGGTCTCTATGGTTGGTACTGGCATTAAAGGCGTGTGTCACCATGCTTGGCTGTGTCCTTGACCACACAGAGACTCTGCCTGCCATGTGATTGGATTAAGGGCATGTGCTACCACTGCCTGACTTCTGTTTTATGGCTCACTATGACCTCGGATCTCCAGGCAAACTTTATTTTATATAACATACAAATAAAATATCAAATTTCAGCACAAATAAAATATCACCACACATATGTGTATTAAAGAGACATACTTTAAATGGCTTATAGCAAAATTAATACAAACTCCAACTCAAGCCAGTCCAAATGCTTATGAACTCAAGTTTATGTATATATAACTATATATAGGCTTGTATACATATTTATGTATATTTAAACACAGTGGAATTTTGTATAGCAATGAAAATGGATAAATCACAAGTAATACATTGGGTTGATTTCACAAATGTACTGAAAATAGTAAGACTAAAAAATGTCTACTCTGGCCGGGCGGTGGTGGCGCACGCCTTTAATCCCAGCACTCGGGAGGCAGAGCCAGGCGGATCTCTGTGAGTTCAAGGCCAGCCTGGTCTCCAAAGCGAGTTCCAGGAAAGGCGCAAAGCTACACAGAGAAACCCTGTCTCGAAAAACCAAAAAAAAAAAAAAAAAAAAAAAATGTCTACTCAGCAACCCCATTTGTATAAATTTTATAAGCAGATGAAACAGCTTTTCTATCAGAACTCTGGAGAGTAGTTCCTTGTGTAGATTTGTGAAGATGAGTAGACTTCAGAGTTGATGGTTGCTTGCTATGTCTGGCCTTAGTTTGCTGTAACTCAGATGCATGCTTTGTGGTAACTGTTTGCATGGGGCTTTATAAATGTGTGTACATTCCTGTATTTGTGTTTTCCTGACCAAGTTGAAAAATGAGATTAGGAAAAAAAAAAGTCTTCCGAAGAAGTAACAGTTTTTTGGGGGGTATGGGGCTATATTATTATTATTTTTATCATGTAATCTATTAACTTGGTTTTCTTACAAATTTATAAGAGTGGGTAGCTGAGAATGGGGCAAGGCCACACTTATAGCTTATGGGGTAATATAACTGGTGCTTCTATGGGGTTGACATTTAGAGTAACTGACCTGTGTGTGCTAGGGCTTGGGTACAAAGTGGGTCCTCCCCTGTAATGCTTCTTTCCAGATGATAGGAAGGGGGCACATAGGAAATGGTGATATAGTCTCCCTCTTCCAGAAGCTTTCCAACTGGAATAGCCTACCAAATAAAGGAAGAGTCATCATTCCAAAAATTATAAAGTCTTAATTTCTGGATTATTCAGAAAAATTAAGGCTGTTATATTTAGTTTCATTAACCTTGAAGAAAATAACTAGGGAACTTTTTCCTAAGATCATTTCTAGGTGCTTATTTAGCATGATTCTTTGTAACAGTAAAATTTAGGCCATTGTCTGCATTTTTAGTTTCTAATAAACTTTTTTTTTTATAGGTGGAGAGAGAACCTGTGGAGTACATGAACTTATCTGTATTAGAAAAGGTAGGCCAACGCTCTGCATGGGTATTTAATTCTAAATGAATACTTCCTAGGATATAGTAAATTTTAGTATGATAATTTGAATATATAAGGCATATAATTTAATAGATATTAGCACTCATTATCTATATTATGGACTCGAGCACACTGGAGTCCATGTTGTTTACTATGTGGCTACTGAGCGTTGCATATTTCTTTTTTTTTTTTTTTTTTTTTTGGTTTTTTGAGACAGGGTTTCTCTGTGTAGCTTTTGTGCCTTTCCTGGATCTCGCTTTGTAGATCAGGCTGGCCTCGAACTCACAGAGATCCACCTGCCTCTGCCTCCCGAGTGCTGGGATTAAAGGCGTGTGCCACCACCGCCAGGCGAGGGATGCATATTTCATTTTGATGGATTAATAAAGTAAAGTCTGGTTTTTATCTTTTTTTTTTTTTTTTTTGGTGTGAGTAGGCAGAGAACAGAGGGCTTGATTTTTGTCCTCTTCCGGAATCTGAGTACTGGGTGCATATTGGCTTCTAACTGGCTTCTGTTCTGTTACTGTACCCCATCAGTGTAATGTGAACAGTTGGTTGAAATTCAGATTGGGAACATATACAAAGACCACACAACCACATGACACCAACAACTGCCTGTGCTTCCTTAGAAGGAGCCAGCTGGCAACTAGGTAGCTCAACAAGGTAGCCCAGGAAAGGTAATTCAGATATTGGGTGGAAGGCAAGGAATCTGGTTTTCTCTAGGTTTTAAGGAATGTGGAGAGATTCCAATTCATTAGGAGTGATCATAGCTCTGAAGTGCTGTGAAGAAAGAAGCAGACCCGGAGAGAGTGAGAAAAGAACCTTCATTCCCTGATCACTCCTACCTGTGTCTCAGCAAGGAGCATTTCTTTCTTTTCTCTCTTCAGCTGAGCTGGCACTCCTGAGTTTGGCCAGAAACCCAAAGCCTACCCTGACCTTTCACCTTGAGGAGGTTAGAGCAGTGTTTGTGACATATGGTATGACTGACATGCCAGCAAAATGTCAGTTATTTTCAGTTTTGACAGCTCTGGAAAATCCTTAACTGCTCTGGAATTGAAAAAAAAAAGTTTTTTAAACCTTCTTAGATGAATCCATGTGATTATCACTGATGTGGTTATGCTAATTAGTTTGTGGGTCACTGCCTATAGTGCTGTCATTTAAAGACAATCTACTTTCTTCATTAACATGTAGGTTAATGTGTCTTTCCTTTGGTACTGGAAAGGGAGAAATTGAAGTCAGTTTTTTTGATTTGTATATCTTATCAAAAATAATGGGCTGGAGAGATAGCTCAGAGGTTAAGAGCACTGACTGTTCTTCCAGAGGTCCTGAGTTCAATTCCCAGCACCCACATGATGGCTCACAACCATCTGTAATGAGATCTGGTACCCTCTTCTGTGTACATAATAAATAAATAAATCTTAAAAAAAAATGACTATCAAATTTGTATATTTTTATGTAAATATTTTCTCTTGTGTTATATTTTATTTATTTTTGTGCATTGCATTATTTTAATCCTATTGAGAGTTTTAAATAATTGTATAGTTATCTTGTCTCACTAAAATTTTTGAAAAGTTTTTACTTGATGAGACAGCAGAAATTGCTATACAGATCATTTGGAATCACACTTCATCATAACTCAAAGGCTGAGAAGCAATTCAGTTGGAATCAAAAGCAACTGAAGCAGTACTCAAGTGAAGAAGGATTCAAGACAAGACTTGAGATAGCTAGAAGGAAACTGAGTGGGAACACTGGGGAAAGGCTATCAGGATAGCTGGTGATCTTAATAGACCACTTAACTTGGCTGAATGGTCTTCCTCTTAGCTAGGGTCCTATGTAGAGTATTGCTCACATTACTTTGTATTTAACTAGCCTTCCCACTTTTCTTTGTGCTATGGAATCTTCATTCTGTGATTATTTATTTACTTTTGAGATAAGGTCTTAGGTGGCTCAGGGTTGCCTTGAATTTTCTGTGTAGCAGAGAAAGATTTTTGAACTCCTGATCTTCTACATCTACTGGCCAAGTGTTAGGATTACAGGTGTGTGCTGGTGCCATGCCTGATTTTACGCTTGCTGAGGACTGAGCCTAGGGCTTCCTGTGTGTGCTAATCAAGTACTCAACTACTGAGCTACAACCTATTCACACTATAGTCACTTCACGAAAAAAAAAATTTAGATCTCTATTTCCTCAGCATTTAATAGTATCCTATTCTAAATGTTTCATAAATGTTTAAACATTTAAGACTGAAGGCTAACACTTCTGCATTTTAAGCTAGATTTACATAGACCAGAACATATGAAGGTTATATAAACTAGAATCATGGAAATTAGTGCCAGTTATTCTGATAAAACGATACCAAATCAACCCTCCCCCCCTTTTTTTTTTTTTAAGGTAGGCTTTCATATATCCCATGCTGGCCTTCAACTTACTGGGTGTTTGAGGCTGGCATTAAATTTCTGAAATTTCTACTTCCACCTCCCAGTGCTGGGATTTCAAGAGTGTCTACCATGCCCTGCTCAATGGTGAATTTCTTTTTACTTGGGTATTTTGTCTTTTGCTGGCTGTTCTCTCTATCTGTAACATAGAATATAAGAGAGAGTAGCACCTGACTAATTTCACTTCACCATCTTTACCTTCTATTGGTTTTTATCCAGTTTTACATGTTCCTTGGTTAAAGCTAATGTGGATGGCCTTTAAGTCCTTGCTCTTTTATCGAACTTCTTGATATTTTTATTTGCATGTCAATAGAATAGCAGATGGATTCATCTAAAAGACATGCCTTAATTTCTTAAGTGAGCCTTCACCTTCTAATGAGCCCTTCTCATCTCAGCTGATAAGTAGCACTACCTCCTTGTGTAGGTCCTAACTTAAGAATCTTCTATGTTTCAGTCTTTTGTCTCCCACTTGTAATGTGTAGTTGTCAGTTGCACTTGTAGTGTGTTTTGAATCCGTCTTCCCCTGCCCTGTTCTGTTGTTGGTATTGTAGTCTTGAACCATTAGAGTAGTTTTCTGTTTTTTTCTTACATGCTTCTTATAGTAAGCATCAGTGATTTTTAAAATTGTAAATTAGACTGTATCACTTTGATGGTTGGAATTGCTCTGTCAATTTCCATTGTACCTGGAATAAAATCTAAGTGCTTCACTTAATCCATAGAGCAGCAATTTTGAGTCCAGAATGTCATCTACATATCATCAGCTTAGAGGTATAAACCATTCTATAAAAATGTGTATGAGAACTTACTACTGGAGACCTGTGGGTAGGGAGACTCTGAAGAGGAATATTGCTTTTAAGATTAAAAGGTCATGATTATGTACCTGTTAGAAATTGTAAAATTACTTAGCTTGTATATATTTGTCTTAGTTATTTTTTGTTATGGTGATAAAATACTCTTGGCAAAAGCAACTTAAGGGAAAAATGCTTTATTTTGGTTCACAGTTCCATGTATAGTTCATCAAGGCTGGGCAGTCATGGTGGCAGGAGCTTGAGACAGCTGGTCACATTGCATCTGCAGTCAGAAACTAGATGAATGATGTAGCAGCTGGCTTGCTCCTTTTTATGCAGGTCGAGACCCAAGCTTAAGGAATGGTGATGCCTATGATTAGGGTGGGTCTTCCTACATCTGTAACCCAGTCAAGATTATCTTTCACAGATCTGTCCAGAGGCTGACCTAAATAATCCAGGTTCCCTGCCTCTGGGGTACATTCCTGCTGTATAGGAGCTCTGCTTGCTTGCTTTCTCTTAAGCTCCCACTTATCAACCTATAATAAACTATTTTCAACCTCAAAATAAACTAAAATAAATAATTCCCACAGGTGTGTATGTTTGGAATCTAAGTCCTAGCTGATTCTATATTCAGTCAAGTTGACAATGAACTATAGCCACATTGTTCTCAATACCCTTTTGCATTCCTACCAGAAATAAATGAACTCCTTGCTCTGCTAGCAGTGTCTTTTGGATATTTTTGTTGTTTTTGCTGCTGTTTATCGGGTGGTAGAAAAATGTAGTTCAGTGTCATTTGGATTTTCATTTTTCTTAGGAGAATGCATTGTCTGAGCTGTTTGTAGAGTATACCAATGATCTGAAGGATACTATAAGAACGTGCTGCTTCAGAAATGTCTGCCTACTGCTCTATAGCTTCTCACCCTTTAATATTTGCTAAATTAGGGTCCATTTAATCTTTGAAATTCATTTCAAATATATTACATTGAAAGAGAAAGATATTCCAGCATTGTCATCTAAACATATCACCACAGTATATCAGATTATTTTGCTTCCATCATGGGAAACAAGAATTATGGACCTGAAGTGTGAGACTCAGGATGAAAGGTGTTTTGTAGACAAGGAAGGGAGGGTGGTGAAAAGTTGACATAGGACAATCTAGGACAGTGTCCAGAATAGGCAGATCCGAGTTGCCAAGGGCAGGCTATTTATAGAACACTGTATCTATTTTATAGTATAGCTGTGAGCTGTGTGGTGTTCTGTTTTCTCCCAAGTGTAGAGAAGACTCCAGCCCCACCCTATCCTTCTTCTGAGGTAGGATAAACAAAGGAGGCTGAGATATGAAGAGAAAGGCTATTTAGTAATACAGTCTGCTGTATATGCAGAATGTAAACCCTTCCATCTCTTAGTATAAGACCTTGTAATTGTAAGTTGAGTCTCTCTCTCTCTCTCTCTCTCTCTCTCTCTCCATTTTCAAAGGAACTGATGCCTTCTTCTGACATCATGGGCATGAGACATGCACATTGTATACATACATACACACAGGCAAAACATTTATATTATAAAATAAAATTATAAAATCTAAAACAAAACTTTTAAGTTTACCTTCTCAGAAAGATCTCACCTGACTGAACTGTACTATCTGAAGTCAGTGGGTCTCTCTCTCTCTCTTCCTAGTCTTCTCTCTCTCTCTCTCTCTCTCTCTCTCTCTCTCTCTCTCACACACACACACACACACACACACACACACACACCATTGTATTCTACTGTTTTTACAGCAATTACAGATATTTTGAATTATTTGATTTGTTTATTGTCTATATCCTGTTATCCCAAACATTGTAAGCCACAAGAGACCATAACATTTGTCATTTATTAATCACAAAATTCCCAGCACTTAGAACAGTGCCTACAATTAGACAAATGCTAAAATATTAAATATGTATCAACACATTCAAGACAAGTAACACAAGAAACCCATCCTCTACTTCATAACCTTCAGGCTTTCAACACACTCTTGGTTTCCACCTACTACAGAAGGAAATTGTTAGATATATACAGCAAACTTCTAAAACTGGCTGTCTTCCACTGCTGCCTTTCATAGGGCACTGGAATCCGATTCCACTATCTCTTTCACCAAGGAGTAAATGGCTATCAGAATGAAGAAGATACAATAAGGTGGACATACAAGTCAAAAAAAAAAAAAGAAAGAAAGAAAGAAATTTAAAAGAAAAAAAAAAGAGGGGTTGGGGAGATAGCTAAGTTAGTAAAGTTCCTACCATGCCAGGCACAAGGACATACATGCTGGGAATCAAACCCATGTTCTCTTCAAGAGCAACAAATGCTCTTACTCCTTGAGCCATTTCTCTAGCCCCTGAGAAGATAACATTTAAGCTGAGGAACACGTCTCCCTGTTGAGGAAGAAACACAAGGATAGGGGAAAGTCACAGGTACTGAGCAGGAAAGTACAAATGCTCTGAGGCAAGAACTGGTCTGTAACTCTTTAAGGACCTAAAAGAAGTGTGGTTAATGGCTAAGTAGTGAATGAGCATAGGAAGGTTCATGAAATAAAGTGGGGGAAGTCTGTGATGTCTGTATTGTATAAGATTTGTGACCTGTGCCAAAGATTTGATAAGATAAAAAGGCAGATTAAGCCGGGCGGTGGTGGCGCACGCCTTTAATCCCAGCACTCGGGAGGCAGAGGCAGGCGGATCTCTGTGAGTTCGAGGCCAGCCTGGGCTACAGCGCGAGATCCAGGAAAGGTGCAAAGCTACACAGAGAAACCCTGTCTCGGGAAAAAAAAAAAAAAAAAGGCAGATTATTGAATCTACATTTAAAAGGCAACTACTAATTTTAAATATTTTACATTGGATTGGATTTTTGTGTACTGTATACAAATTATGTATATTGCTGCAAAATTGAGATTGATTTGTATAGATATGATAAGATAAAAAGGTAGATTATTGAATCTACTTTTAAAAGGCAACTACTAGTTTTAAATATTTTACATTGGATTGGATTTTTGTATATGGTATACAAATTTTGTATATTGATACAAATTTGAGATTGATTTTGTTAGGAAATACTGTACATATATTTCTAATCTTTTTCAAGGCATTGTACCTATACAGTTCATTTAACAATGTAATGCAATTTGCTAATCCTTGAAAGTTATTACCAACTATTTAGGATATAAAGAAATGTAAGTTAATAGTTAGCCATTACAATTGAACTTGTAGTCATATTAGGTATGTTTTCAAGGTCAAGCAGAGATATATTTTAGATAGACAGGTCATCTTCAAACACTTCAGAGACCTTCAGAATATGTCATTTAAGATGTTTTAATAACAGATTTTTTTTTCTTTTTTTATGACAATGAGACATGTCTGCTCCTGGCAGCACCAGTCTACTTCAGAGAAGATGATGAGCATTGAAGAAACTCCATATGGAGTTTACTTTCATTGTGGCAAAAATTAGCCACTGGGCAAGAAATTGCCCTTGCCTCAACTGCTGACAGTATGCTGTCCAAAATGGACAATCAGGACACGAAACAAAGACAAGGTAGGAAGGCTCTTTAGAAATTCCTGCTTCACAGATGAATCTGTCAGATATGCTAGGCCTGTAGGGCAAAGAACGGATGCCCCAATGTTGCAGAGAAACCTCGGGTGACTGTCCAGGCAGCTGGCTGTTTCTGTCATAACTCACATTTTTTTGGAAGTCGCTTTGCACTTCCTGTTTTACTAGGTAATATTATTTCCTTCTCGGGTCTCTGAGGAAGTTGAAGATTAGATAGCTATAGTTAGAGTTTTCCTTGTTACGAAATGCAGAAAAGAAACTCACTTAGAGGTGTAAAGTGTGTAAGTTTGAAAGACATCAAAAGATAGTTATCGGTTGGTAATACAAGTTAGAATAGAAAGTGAATTAGGTACATTTTGGCTTCACCAAAATAGGATAGATAATGGAATATTTTCACTGAATTTGTCAAATGCAAATGGACTAGACATTGTTGATGTATTTACTGCCTGTATATATTATATATAGTTATTGTACTTACTGTATATAGTTTTTCTTATATTAGTTATAATTTTAGACAAAAAAGGGAAATGTGGTAATATTTTATTTGTGCACCCTAATAACGTTTATCTGAGGATCAGAGGAAAAAGCCAGCCACTATATTAAACATAGAGGTCAGGCAGTGGTAACACATGCCTTTAATCCTAGCATTCGGGAGGCAGAGATTTATCTGCATCTCTGTGAGTTCAAGGCCACACTGAGAACAGAGCCAGGCCTGGTGGCACACGCCTTTAATCCCAGCAGTAGTTAACCATGGAGATCTGGAGGTTTGTACAGACAGACAGGAAGTCACAGAGCTGGGCAGAAAGAGGAAGTGATGTAGCTGGGTGAAGAGAGGGAGTGAGATGCAGAACAGAAAGGCATATAGGCATGGGTATATGGGAAGTAGTTCAGCTCTAGTGTGCTTCCCATGTGAGGTACATGCCTAGGGTAAGGGGTGAGGCCATCTTTCCTGGGTATGTGTTTAGGGAGGGGGACTGCTGTCGATGCCTCTCCCCTGAGAGGGTAGGGGCCAGCTCTCCTGCTGCGGTATCCAGAGAGGGGCAGGACCAGCCATCCCAGAGACAGTTAATGGTTGCGTTAGGGATAATTATTTGATTTTTCAATGACTTAACCAAAAGGATATTTTCTTATAAAATATATCTTCTCAATTGTTTCTAATAGAAGGTGGTATTTTTGTTGTTGGGTTTTTTTGTTGTTTGTTTTTGTTTTTTTCTGAGATTGGGAGTTGAGGTTTTGACAGAGTAAGCAAGGTATATTATGTGCTCTGAGCTGTAGCAGAAGTGGTAGTTTAATTTCATCTGAAAGTGTTCTTTTGGTCAGGAGCCTTATAAGGATTGGTTTGTGTTAGACAAACTTTCAAATGTAAAGCTACAACAGATCCAGACTGAGAAACAAAATTAAGTGTGTTAGCTGTCTCTTTTTTTCTGTCTGCCTTTATGTTCTAAGGTATATTTTAAGGGTTCTCTCCTGTTCCTTTGGTTTTTAAAATGTTTAGACATCATTTTCTTGGCTGTGAAAGGTGATTTCATGAGTGGCTTTGGAGTGGATGCCCATAATGCTCCTTGCTGCTTCCTAGACTGGGTGACCTCACCAGGTTGCTTGGCCCTTTGTGCCTCACAGTTCTCATCTGGTTGTAGAATGGATGACAGTGTTGTCTTTCTCATCTGGTTTGTGAGTGTAAACTAGTTAATATATATGAATGCATAAATTAGCTAATGACTATAAATGCCTGAAAAAGTACAAATCAGAAAATTATTAACAAGGTTATAATAACAATTTAGTATAGTAACAATAAAATAATAAAGCATTGTTTTATCCTCCACAAATTTCTTTGTCCTAGTATAGTTACATTTAAGTTTTGGTTGAGTTTCAGAGGTTACATTTTTGTGATTAATAGTTTTTGTAATAAAGCTGTTTACACTTCAATTATATCTTTGTATAACTTCACTTTTCTTAAGGTACCTTTTCTTTTCTATCCACATCCAGGTTCTAGCTCAAATCCATTTTTACCAGAGCTTAGAATCCATGTTATTTTTTGTCATTCAGATTTTTTTCTTCTCTTGCCACCCTACTCCTCTTCAGTAACATGTATCCTTAGGCTGTTTTGCTTCCCTGAGTGTTTTGGTTACTGTGATAAAATACTACTATGACCATAGGCGCCTAAGGAAGAGTTTATTTTGGCTTATGGTTTCAGGGGGCAAGATGTCCATAATCGTGGGGAAGGCATGGCTGCAGGAACAGGAAGTTAAGAGAGCACATCTCAGCTGCATATAGGAAGCAGAGAAAGAGAAGTGGAAGTAGGGTGTGTTATCTATTAAGTGGCGCAATGTTATTCATTAAGCGGCACTGTTTACCGTGCGAGAAAAGCCACGAGGTACAACAAAACTCATTCTAAAAATTTATTAAGGGAAGGGAACAGAAGGAATGTGAATAGGCCTATGGAATGACCGTGCAGGAAGAGGGGGGAGGAATAGGTGAAACCCACTTTTATAGGTTCCCAACACACAAGTATACATGGGCTTACGTAGCTACATCACACATGCGCATAGATTACATGATCATGTTGCACACAAATTACGTGATCACACAGCGCGTTATAAGTAGGTCATAAGGCCCTTGGATGACTAAGCATCTTGCCAGCAAATGCTCGTGGTCATGTAGCTGGGGGAGTGGCTAGGAATTCTAACAGGGTCAAGTTTTAAATTTTCAGGTCCCATTCCCAGTGACTCACTTCCTCCAGCAAGGCTCCATGTCCTAAAAGTTCTGTAACATCTCTAAACAGAGCTACCAAACGGGGACCAAGTGTTCAACTCTGTGAGTCTTGGAAGAGACATTTCTCATTTAAACAAGAACATTAGGAACTAGTCAGCTTATTATATCATTTAATGTATAGTTAGCTGGTATACTTAGCAAACCCCAGAGACTCAAGCAGGAGAGAGGATTATTCTTCTGAGAAAGTCAAGCCAGCTGTTTGTAGTGACTATAGGATACTGCTTCCATGGTAGTGCAGGTCTAGGTTCTTGGCATCTGTGGCTCTGGCATCTCCAGCATGTGGCTTTGAAGGCTACTGTGTTCCTCATCAAGCAGGGAATGTGAAGGAAAGAAAGGGAAAGGGTTGTTTCTCAGAGCCTTTTATGGACCCTGGAGGCAGTGTACATTCCTTAATATTCTTTTGCCCTCAGTAATTCAGTTGCATGGCTAGAGGCTTCTTCATAGCAGGCTGAGAATGTTAGGAAGCCAGTGAGCCTGGGAAGTACACCAGGTTGTATTCTACTATTTACACCAGTCCACCTTAACATGAAATTCCTACTGGTTATTGTCTTATGTGCTGTGTATCTGTTAATGATGGCTCAATGGACAAGTTCCCTGTACTGGTAGTTGAATAATTTAAAGACATGACTTCAGCATAAATTTAAGGGCTTGTAAAAATATATAATAGGGATTTTGATATGTTTTGTTTTTGTAGGGGAGGAGTTGGAAATGTTCTGATTTTTTTTACTCATCCTGCAGGATTCTACCCCATTTTGTTTCTTTCTCTTTTTACTACCTAAACTATGAACAACCTTCTGTTTTCCTCTTCACAAGCTGTGATTTACAAAAACTGTCAATATTCTTGACAATTCAGTGGTTCTCAACCTTCCTAATGCTGCAACTCTTTAATATAGTTCCTCATGTTGTGGTGACCTCCAACCATAAAATTATTTTTTTGCTAGTTATGAATTGTAATGTATCTTTGGAGATAGTGAGTTGTGACCCACAGGTTGAGAATCAGTGCTTAAGCTATCTTGTAACTTCAGATTCTTTCCCTGTGTTTTGTGTCTTGATCAACTGTTTTGTGTGTGTGTGTGTGTGTGTGTGTGTGTGTGTGTGTGTGTGTGTGCGTGTGCATTTATGTATGGACTGATTTTTTTTCTTTGTTTGGATTGATTTTTTTTTGACAACAGTTTTAGATCTAAGTGAGGACCCTTGTTAATTTTCTGTTTTCCTTAGTTTCTTCTTTTGTTTATAGCAAAGCCTTTTTAGGCAGGTGGGTGTAGGATTGAGTTATTTTATACCACCTATCATAAGGGGAGATGAAGTATTTTCCTTCAGAGAAAAGAGTGGATTTTAAAATACAAAACAGGTCTTTTTCTTCCAAATGAGATCACTGATATTTTCTGAGGTGTGATCTCATACCAAAGATGTTCTTACATTCATTACAGGCATCTCTCCTGTGAGTTCCTTGACACCTGTTGAGGTTTGACTTCTGTTAAAGGCTTTCTAATAGTCATTACATTCATAGAGTTTCTTTCCTGTGTAAGTTATCTGATTTATAGCGAGGGTGTCCTTAAGACAGATTTTAGACATTGGTAGGCTTTTCTCCTGTGCTAGTACTTTTGATAGGTAGTACAGCCTGACATACAGCTGAAAAATTCCCTATATTAGTTGTGTTCATAGTTATCCCCCACTTGCATATATCATTTGATGTGTTATGAGTTCTGCACACATGTGCACATTCTAACATACACACATGCATTTTGAAAAGTGCTTTTTATGTAGTATCATTTTTGTCTTGTAGGTTCCTCTCTTTATTCAAGAGTATCCCATCACCTTGTGTTCTGTTTCTTTGATGTTCAGATATTTTATGAACCCCAAATTAAAATAATAGACCTCAGGTAGGTTACTATAGGTTAATAAGTGTTAATACTTTTGAGTCTTACTCTAGTTTTTTGTCACAGGACTCCTGCTCTGTTAGTTTCTTCTGTGTACCAAATCCATCTTTATGTAGTTCATGTTTCAGTGTGAATGAGAGTCCTTTGGAAACTCTAGAAGACAAAAGATCTTTGTAGTAGTTAGAGAATAGAAGATATGGTGGTTTGAATAAGAATGGTCCCCATGGGCCCATATATTTGAATGCTTAGCCATCAGGGAATGACACTATTTGAGAAGGATTAGGAGGTGTGACCTTGGTGGAGGAAGTGTGTCACTGGGGGTGGGCTTTGAGG